TTGAGTCCCTTTCTCAGCCTACAGTTATGCTGGGAAACCGTCAGTTTGGGTGGGGAGTTTTTCCAGCTTTTGTTCTGGGGGTCTTGTGCAGATGCCCAGGGAGAAGCCAGGCAAGGAGGCTGCTTTTGTCCTCACCCTGTGACTGCCAGACTGGCTGATCTGTTGGCATCAGATTCACACTGAAGAAATGGTACTTTATCCTGTGAATAGAAAGCCATGTTCAGAAGGGCCTAGTGTGTATAACCCACTTTCCCAGGAAGCAATACAAAGGATAAAGTATGCCCGGGACAGAAGGAGAAAAAGTAGAAAGTATCAGAAAATCTCTAAGAGTTGCCTAGTAGACATGTCATACAAAAAGCCTTGTCTGGGCCGGGCGCAGTGGCTCACGCCTGTAATCCCAGTACTTTGGGAGGCTGTGGCAGGTGGATCACGAGGTCAGGAGATTGAGACCATCCTGGCCAACATGGTGAAACCCGCCTCTACTAAAAATACAAAAAAAAAATTAGCTGGGTGTGGTGGCGCACTCCTGTAGTCCCAGCTACTCGGGAGACTGAGGCAGAATTACTTGAACCCAGGAGCAGAGATTGCAGTGAGCCAAGTTTGCGCCACTGCATTACAGCCTGGGCGACAGTGCAAGAGTTTGTCTAAAAAAAAAAATTATGTACCCCTAAATATTCAGGATGTTAACAATAAAATATTAAAGCAATTAAAATGAAAAAAAGTCAAACTTTATTATGACCCCAAAAACATAAAAACCCAAACCTTACTATGACTTCAAAAGACTTTTGTACAGCATATGTGGGTTTTATTTATTTGTGCTTATCGTAATAAAACATTTTAAATATTTATTAATTCATATAGCAATAAACTGATTACAAGTTAACGTTAACTTGTAGTTTATTGCTATATGAATAAATAAATAAATATGTATAAATATATATATATATATATTTATTTATTTATTTTTGAGACAAAGTCTCTCTCTGTCACCCAGGCTGGAGTGCAGTGGCATGATCTCAGTCCACTGCAACCTCTGTGTCCCAGGTTCAAGTGATTCTCCTGCCTCAGCCTTCGAATAGCTGGCATTACAGGCACCCACCACCATGCCCAGCTAATTTTTGTATTTTCAGTACAGACAGTATTTCACCATATTGGCTAGGCTGGTCTTGAACTCCTGACCTCAGGTGATCCGCCTGCCTCAGTCTCCCAATGTGCTGGGATTACAGGTGTGAGCTACTCTGCCTGGCATAATGTCTGTCTTAACAGAAGGTTACTGAATTTTCTTTTTTTTTTTTTTGAGACAGAATCTCACTCTGTTGCCCAGGCTGGAGTACAGTGGCTCGATCTCGGCTCAGTGCAGCCTCTGCCTCCTGGGTTCAAGTGATTCTCCTGCCTTTCAGCCTCAAGAGTAGCTGGATTACAGGCATGAGCCACCACACCCAGCTCGCAGTTACCCCCTTCTGAGTTGAATTTTCATCTATGTCTCTACATTCAATCTATTTTGATATTACATATCATGTAGCCTCTAGAAACCTCAAATGTTAACTGGAAAAATAGAATGAAAAGGCAAATAAATCATCTCAGGTTTATTATGAAAATAGATTTAAATTTTTTTTTTTTTTTTTGAGACAGAGTTTCGCTCTTGTTACCCAGGCTGGAGTGCAATGGCGCGATCTCGGCTCACCGCAACCTCCGCCTCCTGGGTTCTGGCAATTCTCCTGCCTCAGCCTCCTGAGTACCTGGAATTACAGGCATGTGCCACCATGCCCAGCTAATTTTTAGTATTTTTAGTAGAGACGGGGTTTCACCATGTTGACCAGGATGGTCTCGATCTCTTGACCTCGTGATCCACCCGCCTTGGCCTCCCAAAGTGCTGGGATTACAGGCTTGAGCCACCGTACCCGGCCTTTTTTTTTTTTGAGATGGAGTCTTGCTCTGTCACTCAAGGTAAAGTCCAGTGGCACAATGTTGGCTCACTGCAACCCTGCCTCCTGGGTTCAAGAGATTCTCCTGCCTCAGCCTTCTGAGTAACTGAGACTACAGGTGTGCACCACTGTGCCTGGGTAAATTTTGCATGTTTAGTAGAGATGGAGTTTTACCATGTTGGCCCGGCTGGTCTTCAACTCCTGACCTCAAGTAATCTGCCTGTCTCGGCCTCCCAAAGTGCTGGGATTATAGGCACGAGCCACGGTTCCCACCCTACCATCTAAACCATTTTGAGGCATGCAGTTCAATACTGTTAAGTATATTCAAATCATTGTGCAGCAGACCTCTAGGACTTTTTCATCTTAGAAAACTGAAATTCTACATCCATTGAACAACTCCCCATCCTATGGCCACTGACAACCACCATTCTACTTTCTGCTTTTATGTGTTTGACTACTCTAGGTATCTCATATAGGTGAACGCAGCATTTTATCTCTCTGTGACTGGCTTATTTCATTTACTATAACATGCACAAGGTTTGCTCAGATGGTAGCATATGTCAGAATTTTTTTTTATTTTTAATTCTTTTTTTTTTTTTTTTTTTTTTTTTTTTTTGAGACGGAGTTTCGCTCTTGTTACCCAGGCTGGAGTGCTATGGCACGATCTCGGCTCACCGCAACCTCCGCCTCCTGGGTTCAGGCAATTCTCCTGCCTCAGCCTCCTGAGTAGCTGGGATTACAGGCACGTGCCACCATGCCCAGCTAATTTTTTGTATTTCTAGTAGAGACGGGGTTTCACCGTGTTGACCAGGATGGTCTCGATCTCTTGACCTCGTGATCCACCCGCCTCGGCCTCCCAAAGTGCTGGGATTACAGGCGTGAGCCACCGCGCCCGGCCTTTTTTTTTTTTTTTTTTTTTTTTTTTTAAAGATGGGGTTTCACCATGTTGGTCAGGCTGGTCTTGAACTCCCGACTTCAGGTGATCCGCCCACCTTGGCCTCCAAAGTGCTTGGATTACAGGCGTGAGCCACCAGGCTCGGCTGAATTTCTTTTCTTTTTAAGGCTAATATTCCATTGTATGTATAGGCCACATTTTTTCTATTCATCCCTCAATGGACATTTGGGTTGCTTTGCCTTTTGGCTATTGTGAATAGTGGTGCTGTGAACGCAGGTGTACAAGTGTCTTTCAGTTCTTTTGGATACATATCCAAACGTGGGATTGCTGCATCATATGGTTATTCTACGTGTAACTTTTTGAAGAACTGCCAAAACTGCCCAACTATTTGCCACAGCACCACTTTATATCCCTCAAACAATGTACAAGGGTTCTAATTTCTCCACATACCCATCAACACTTGCTTTTTTCTTTTTTTGAGACGGAGTCTTGCTCTGTCACCCACGCTGGAGTGCAGCGGCATGATCACGGCTCACTGAAACCTCCATCTTACCGGTTCAAGCAATTTTCCTGCCTCAGCCTCCTGAGTAGCTGAGATTACAGGCACGTGCCCCCACACCCAGCTAATTTTTGTATTTTTAGTAGAGACGGGGTTTTGCCATGTTGGCCAGGCTGGTCTCGAACTCCTGACTTAAGGTGATCCAGCCGCCTCGGCCTCCCAAAATGCTGGGATTACAGGCGCAAGCCACTGTGCCCGGCCAACACTTTTTTTTTCTATTTTTTTTTTTCCACAGTGGCCATACTAATGGGTGTGATATGATATCTCATGTGGTTTTAAATTTTTATTAAAAATTTTTTTTTTTTAGAGACAGGGTCCCTGCCTCCACCTCCCAAGAAGCTTGGACTGTAGGTGCATGCTGCTGTGTTCAGCTCTTGCGGTTTAGATGTGCATTTTCCTAATGATTAGTGATGCTGAGCATCTTAGCATATGCTTGTTGGCCATTTGTATATCTTCTTTGGAGGAATGTCTATGCAAGTCCTTTGTCGTTTATTTATTTAGAGACAGAGTCTTGCTCTGTCACCGAGACTGGAGTGCAGTTGTACAATCTCGGCTCACTACAACCCTTGCCTAATGGATTCCAGTGACTTTCCTGCCTCAGCCTCCTGATTAGCTAGGACTACAGGTGCATGTCTCCATGATGCGTGTGTGTGTATACACACACACACACACACACACATATATATATTTGTATTTTTGGTAGAGACAAGGTTTCACCATATTCATCCACACACTTCAGTTTCCCAAAGTGTTGGGATTACAGGTGTGAGCCACGGCGCCTAGCTGACAAAGCTGATCTGCATCTGAGAAGCCAGATAGTCAAGGCCAGGCTTTCCTGTCCCTGCTTTCTCCCTCTCCTATGTGAGCCAGCAAGAGTGAAAATCGCTAGAACTAAAGACGAGTTTTCCTCCTAGGGTCTCGCAGCGACTCGCTGCCCAAATACATTTGGATAATTCTCCTGCAGAAGGCCCTCCACTAAGAAAATGAAGCGTTCGGCCAGGCGCAGTGGCTCACACCTGTAATCCCAGCACTTTGGGAGGCCGAGGCAGGCGGACACCTGAGGTCAGGAGTTCGAGACCAGCCCGGCCAACATGGCAAAACCCCGTCTCTACTAAAAATACAAATTGGCAGGGCACGGTGGTGCGGGCCTGTAATCCGAGCTACTTGGGAGGCTGAGGCAGGAAAACCGCTTGAACCCGGGAGGCGGACGTTGCAGTGAGCCTGGGCGACAGAGTGAGACCTTGTCTCAAAACAAAAACAAAAACCCAGAAGAAAAAAAAAGAAAGAAAGAAAGAAAACGAAGCGTTCTATCCTGGAATGTTCTCCCATGGCGAGAAGGAACCAGAAGCAGGAGACGGAGATGCTCGAAAGGAGCTGCGCTCTCAGGAGGAGAAGACGGGGAGAGCGATCCCAAGTTGAGGAAATCCTGCAGGGCGCTGGAGCGTGGAAGGGCCAGGAGGAGCCAGGCGAGGCGGCGCGCAGGGCTGGGAGCCCAGGGCGAGTCCCGGCGTCCGGGCGCCGCGGTCCCGGGGCGGGCTGTGCCGGGGCCGCGCGGAGCCGGGGGGCGCGGACACCGCGCATGCGCGGGCCGGGAGCCTGGCTGGGCGCGCCGCCGCAGTCCTCCGGGCGGACAGCCCGGGCCTCGCCCGGCGCCCGCCGCGGCCGCCCCCGCCCCAGCGCAGCGGCCCGGCTCACGCGCGTCCCCTCCCCGCCGCCCGGAACCCGGCAGCCCGGCCAGACCCGCTGAGACCGCGACGCCGGCGTCGACGGCGGCTGCGACGGCCTCGGGAGCGCGTGAGGCTCCGGGGTCGCGGCGGCGATTGGCCGGCCCCGGCGCCCGCTCCCAGAATGCAGCGCATGGCGCGTCATTGAAGAGAGACCATGATGGCGGCGGCGCTGGGGCCCCCAGAAGTGATCGCTCAGCTGGAGAACGCGGCTAAAGTTCTCATGGTGAGGACGCCGCGCCCCTCAGATCCCGGGGTTCGCGGGCCCCCGGCTGGCCCTGCCACGCCAGGCCTTGCTGCCCACTGGGCTGGCGATGGGCAGGGGCCTCCAGGGAGTCTGGAAGTGGAGGAGGAGGTGGCGGTGGCGTGGCGCAGGATTCTTCATCCTACTTTCCGCCTGCGGTCGTCCCCTCCTTCCAGGGGCTGTCCCCTTCCCCTGGCCGCTCCGCACCCCAGTTGGGCGTGGGGAGGTAGTGGTGTAGCAAAGAGAATTTCTTCACCTTACACCCTGCCCCGCAGACCGGGTCGCAGAGCAAGACGCGGGGAAGGAAGTTGGGGTTGTCCCCGCAGGGCTTCAGTAGGGCAAATTCGTGGGGCTGTGTGCGCGCCCCTGGGGAGTTGCTGTCGGGAGGGAATGGATGGCACAGCTCGCGTGTTGTTGGCGGTCCTTGTTTCCTGTGCATTCGGATCCGCTAGCGCTTCCCTGACATGCAGCCACCTCTGGAGTAATTGCAGCCGGCAGCACGTGGAAGGGCCGGCAGGAGGGAGGGAGGGGAATCGTTGAGACCAAGGTCATTGGGGCAAAACTTGGTCCAGTGCTAAGCTCCTTAAGTCGCCCGCGATTTGGAGAACTGAGTCTATGCTACACTTTGACTTCAGGCTTACACTACAATAAACAGTTTGATGAGGTTGTTTACTCAGGGAATTTGAGAAGGCCGAGTCAAAGGATAAAAGTATTACATGCAGGGAGGAGAAGTAAGGATCAACTACATTCAGTTACTCAGTAAACTGTGTGTGTATTTGCTGGCTCAGCTTTGTTTTTGTAAATTATGACTTCGGTGTCTGTAGATGTTTTTGGAAGAGAGGTTCATTTGATAGCTGGATTGATTCAGACTTTCTAAGAATTGTATGCATCCCGGTCTGTCACCTTTTTGGACTTTTTTCTTCATGGTGCAGTGTTAGGGTGTTTGAGCATCACATTTAAGAATATTTGAACTAATTCTAGCGTAGTTTGTAGTTCCGATATTTTACGCCAGGTATTTTGTTTCTTCTGCAACCGAGAAGTCTTATAAAAGCAGGATTTACTTGCTTCATTGTAAATAAAGTTAATGTACGTTTTGTCACAAAACAGACCAGTGAAGGTTTTCACACTTTTGCAAATTAAGTCCAGAAATAACTAGCTAGTATTCCCCTTAATACAAGATTCTTAAAATTCCCTGACATAGAGCGTTTCCTAAAATTGCTGAAATTTTCCTAGGAGCTAGGGGCTCTGTTTCTATTAGATTCTGGAAGGAGGAGGCCACCCCAAACACGGCTTTAGTTCTTACATTCATCAGGTAAAATCAGTGTCCTTCATCATTGGCTTAATACAAACTAGTATTTGTGCTTTCCAATATTTTCCTTCTTTCCTGGCAGAGCTACTTTAATCACCTATAAGGGGCAGGTGAGAAGAATAGTGGTAGTACTGTTTACTGAGTGCTAGATATTGGGCTTGATGCTTTACATACTTTACATATTTTATTAATCCTTGCAACAGCTTTACAAGGTTGAGAAATTGTTTAGATGGCCTGGGTTACACAATTAGTAAGTAGCTGAATTAGGTCTTGAACTCAGTTCTGTCTGGCTCTAAAGCTGTGTGTTTTTTCACTCTACCCCATCTGTCATATGTTGTATACATAATTTGTTTAAGTGCTTTTTATCTTTCCAGCGGAGAGGAGTATTGAAAAAAATGTTGTGTTATTAAAAACAAAAAATTACAGCTGGGCGAAGTGGCACACGCCTGTAATCCCAGCACTTTGAGAGGCTGAGGTGGGCAAATCACTGAGATCAGGAGTCTAAGACCAGCCTGGCCAACACAGTGAAGCCCCGTCTCTACTAAAAATACAAAAACCAGTTGGGCGTGGTGGCAGGCGCCTGTAATCCCAGCTTCTGTGGAGGCGAAGACAGGAGAATCGCTTGAACCCGGTAGGTGAAGGTTGCAGTGAGCAGAGATCACGCCACTGCACTCCAGTCTGGGTTATAGAGTGAGACTCCATCTCAAAAAAAAAAAAAAAAAGAAATGATGTTTTTGAAAATTTCTACTTTAGTATTCAGAAATTTGTTCCAAAGATGTGTAAGAGTAGCAGTTATTATATTATTTCTTAATATGAAAGTTGTATTCCAAATTATTATTATTAATCGTAGCTACCATTTATTGAGTACATACTATGTTCAAGGTGCTATGCCAAGCACTTTACATATTTTATCTCCAGTAACTCTCCTACTGGAGGTAATACTGAGGTAGGTATTATTACTTTCATTTTCTTTTTTTCCATTTAGTACTGGAGGTAGTACTGAGGTAGGTATTATTGCTTTCATTTTTTTTTTTTTTTTTTTTTTTTTTGAGACAGAGTCTCACTTTGTCGCCCAGGCTGGAGTGCAGTTTCATGACCTGGGCTCACTGAAACCTCCACCTCCCGGGTACAAGTGAGTCTTCTGCCTCAGCCTCCCAAGTAGCTGGGACTACAGGTGTGTGTCACCACACCCAGCTAATTTTGTATTTTTAATAGAGACTGGGTTTCATTATGTTGGTCAGGTTGGTCTTGAACTCCTGATCTTGTGATTTGCCTGCCTCGGCCTCCTAAAGTGCTGGGATTACAGGCTTGAGCCACCTTGCCCTGCTATTCTCATTTTCAGTTTTACAGGCTAAGGAACTCAAACGTGGATGCTAAGTAATCTTCACAAATTTACATAGCAAGGGGTAGAGTAGAGACTCAAACTCTGGTTTGTCTGTTACCAGTTTGTGGTTTGTTTATTTATTTATTTATTTATTTGAGATAGTGTTTTGCTCTTGTTGCCCAGGCTGGAGTGCAGTGGTGCACTCTTGGCTCACTGCAACCTCTGCCTCACGGGTTCAAGTGATTCTCCTGCCTCAGCCTTCCAATTAGCTGCGATTACAGGCATGCACCACCATGCCTGGCTAAGTTTTTAGATTTAGTAGAGACGGGGTTTCACCATGTTTTGTTAGGCTGGTCTCGAGCTCCTGATCTCAGGGAATCCACCCACCTTGGCCTCCCAAAGTGCTGAGATTACAGGCATGAGCCACCGCACCTGTCCTGATCTTTCTTAAGCTATAGGATAGTGGGATCAGAAAAGAGATAAATTAATTAATCTAGGGCTAATTAAAGCTGCTAATGTTCCTTCAATTATTTAGCATTAAAATGCATATTTTATACAATGATTTTAGCATTTATCTATCTGTGGGTCTGAATAAATCTTATTTGTGGGAAATTGCTGTATTTTAACTGTTATGCTTTGAGATTCAAAATGCAATTAGTGATGTATTTTGTAATTGTTTTTGCTTATTTTTTCTTTTTCTTTTTCTTTCTTTTTTCTTTTTTTTTTTTGAGACAGAGTTTCGCTCTTCTTGCCCAGGCTGGAGTGCAATGGCACGATCTCGGCTAATTGCAGCCTCTGCCTCCCGGGTTCAAGTGATTCTCCTGCCTCAGCTTCCCAAGTAGCTGAGATTACAAGCATGCACCACCACACCCGGATACTTTTTGTGTTTTTAGTAGAGACAGGGTTTCTCCGTGTTGGTCAGGCTGGTCTCGAACTTCCAACCTCAGGTGATCCACCTGCCTCAGCCTCCCAAAATGCTGGGATTACAGGCATGAGCCACCGCTTCCAGCTTGCTTAATTTTTCATTAGGTAGCTCATATAGTTCTTTTTTGGAAATCAACACAGAATTTTAGTACATAGAACAATCTTTTTTTTTTTTTAATTTTTTTTTTTTTGAGACGGAGTTTGGCTCTTTTTACCCAGGCTGGAGTGCAATGGCGCGATCTCAGCTCACTGCAGCCTCCGCCTCCTGGGTTCAGGCAATTCTCCTGCCTCAGCCTCCTGAGTAGCTGGGATTACAGGCATGTACCACTATGCCCAGCTAATTTTTTGTATTTTTAGTAGAGACGGGGTTTCACCATGTTGACCAGGATGGTCTCGATCTCTTGACCTTGTGATCCACCCGCCTCGGCCTCCCAAAGTGCTGGGATTACAGGTTTGAGCCACCGCGCCCGGCCTTTTTAAATTTTTAAATTTTTATTTATTTTTCTTTTTTCTTTTTGCCTCACCATGTTACCGAACAATCTTAAGAGATGTTTTAGTACAGAGGTCTTAGGAAGTCTAGGATGAGTATCAGAAGGAAACTGTAGCAAATTTTTTGGTGTAAACATACATTTTTAGTAAAAGGGTCTACAGCTTTTATCAGCATCTCTGAGAGACTAGAGACCCTGAAAAATAAACTGAGTCTAAGCATTCTCCCTTCCATTCTACAGATGGGGAAACTGAGGTTCAAAGAGGTAGAAGTGACTTGCCCAAGGTAGGTCACAGAGCAAATTAATGATGTAAGTGATCCAGGCCGAGATAACCAGACTCCCCTTTCAGAACTTTTACTTTTTTTTTTAATTGTTTATACTCAACCATGTTGCTTCTCAGTCAACATATACTATAAATGTTACATTTTATTACTTGATGGAAAATGTCTAAATATATTATATCTATATTCAGTCCATTTAGTTTATTGGATAAACTGCCAAATAAAGTAGTACAGTCGTCCCTCGGTATCCATGAGAGATTAGTTCCAGGAGCCGCCTCCACCCATGAACACTAACTGTGGATTGATACTTAAGTTTTTGAGACAAGGTCTCTGTTGCCCAAGCTGGGGTGTAGTGGCATGATCATAGCTCACTGCAGCCTTGAATGGCTAATTTTTAAAAAACACTCTTTTGTAGAGAGAGGAAATCACTATGTTGCCCAGGCTGGTCTTAAACTCAAGTGATACTCTTGCCTTGGCCTCCTGAAATGCTGGGATTATAGGCATAAGCTACTGTGCCTGGCTGAGTTCCTTATATGAAATGGTATGGTAATTGTGTATAACCTATACACATCTTCCTATATGCTAAAATGTAGGAGAGGTTTTGATTTTAGAGACAACATTATTAAAAAGTTTAGTGTTCTTATAGTATTGATGCC